ACTACGACGCTGGTACCATTCTGTTGGTTTCCTTCCTTTTCATTTGCTGCTAGTTTCTGTTCCAGAGTCAAGGATTTTTGAAAGTTCAGATCCACTAAGTCATTAGGGATCACTCGAAGCCCAAAGTAGATTCGCTTGACAAGCTTGAATGTCTTCATCAGCTGCACATCACACCTGTAAGTCCCTGCATCAGATTCTTTGGCAGGGGAAAGTTTGATGACATAGCTTGGGGTCTTGAAAGGTTTGAAAAGCAGATCATCTGTGGTGATTATGCCTCTGGCAAGCCTCCAGGTGTAGATAAAGGCCTGGCTGCCAACACCAATCATCTCAGAGGTCAGGCAGCTGAGCTTAAATGGTTTGCCAGTGGGGACAGTGAAATGGAGTAACCCACAGATCCAGTTGGTCAGGCAGTCTGACCTGCGGAAGTTACAATGACTCCTTTTCCCATGCGGATCAATCTGACATATCTCCTCCACTTTGAAGCCCAGGCCACAGGTGACACTGCAGGATGTGGTGCTGACCAAGACCTTAGCAACTGCTGACTTCAGCTGCTCTGGGATGGTAACTGTCTCAAGGGAAGCTGCCAACAAAGGCAGATAGAAACCAAAAGCTAATGTCCCACAGATAAAGCTGTTTTCCAAGGTCTTCATCTCTGCATAGTCAATTTTATAAGCCACTTCTAAGCCACTGGCAGTTAGTAGTCCAACAAGTGCAAGTCATTCTTCATAAGTGTTCATCCTACGTATTACTGAAATTCCAGCAGCAGCATCTTCGTGAACTAATTCCCCGCATACATGAAATCCTCCAAGAACAAGGACTTGAAGTGAAACGCTGCTAAAGAAAATGCAACTTATTAATAGGTTAGTCCTTGTTCATCATGTGGGTTCCTATTTCTATAACAGACGTTTCACAGCTCATTTTAAACTACTCAACTCCAACAACAGGAAACCCCCTTTGATACAAAATATTTTAAATTAAATTAAACTCTCAGGGAACAGGAAGGAGAACCAAAAAAATGATTTTAAAACAACTTCTGGAGCAAAGAGAAGTTATTCCAGTTGAATTTCTCCAACCCCAAACTATAAAACACAATCCATAATAAAATCTTGAAACCCCAATACAATGCCAACAAAACAATAGGAAAATTGTACTTACCGTGTACGTGAGGAGTACTGTCTTACATATTTGTACCCTGAAATTTAAAGCATTCCCCAAATCTCCAAGATCACGAAGATAAGCTTTTGACTTCATTGCCATCAGAACATCATCAAGAGTTAAAAGGCAAACTGGTAAATATTTTAATATAACCACTTATATGCTTGGCTATTTTCCTTTCAAATAGGACAGCAGACATTTTGTATATGCAGGGAGGTGACCTGGTTCTTCACTTCCCTCCATGGCTCAATTAAGTCTCTAAAGTTTCCATAACACATGCTACTGTGAAACAATTATGATGTCATAAGCTAGCCTTCCACGAGGCAGGATGATGGCACAAAGAACATCGCACACATCCAGGCAAGCATCTTAAATGGATTATTTGATGAAGAAAGCTCCAAAAAGGCCACAGCACCTTAAAATACTGAAGTTAGTAAAGCCAGGCTGCCCCATTTGAGCTGACAGTATCAGTGTTGGTGCATAAGGCTGGGAGTCAGGAGCCCAAGGTTAAATTCACCACTAACAGAGGTGGCTGCAACTGCACTGATTTCAGATACCACTTATATTAGCTGTGAATTTGACACCCAGGATCTATTCTGGACTCAGTTACTGGCTCACTAAGTGACCGTTGGAGAGTCACAACCTTCACATTCCAATTGATACATTAGCAAAATGGGCACTGCCACTTACGATACACGGGTGTTGGTGCAGGCAGAGAAGAGAATGGTTCCAAAGCAATGGTTCACAGAGTTGTGAAAGTCTTCGAAGACAGGTGCAATCAAGTGCCAAGTATCGTGTGTCATGAGAAGCAAACATGGTATTTATTTTTGATGGAGCAATACAGTATTGTGACAATAGTCCAGTAAACAAAAGTAATCCCTGAGCAGCAAACTGAGTATTGGATATTACTAAAGATCAGATTGCAGGAACATGGACTTTTTCCTTAAAAATGAACAGCACTAAAATAACTGCACCTCTCTTCCCACCATCACCTTAGATTATTAAAGCTGAAAGAATTTTTAAAATCCAGTTTACTGTTCTCTATTTATGCTGTTCACTTTCTCCATCTCTACATTCTCCCAATATTTATACTAAGCTCAGCATAGCATCAGAGTACTGGAACATAAATTAAATTAAGTCAATTTTTCTTTTCCTTACGGTCAGTTTCACTTTCAGGTTCTTTGTCCAGGAACTTTTGTGTTGCACACGGGGCCGGCTCTAGGATTTTTGCCGCCCAAAGCAAAAACAATTTTGGCCGCCCCCGCCCCCCCCCGTTTTTTAATTACCCCACTCCTGGCCCCGCCTCAATTCCGCCCCTTCCCCAAATCCCCAGCCCTGCCTCCTCCCCCCAGGCTTTCAAGCCTGGGAGGGACAACTGTTTCGCGCGCCGCGGCCGCTCGGGATCTCCCCCTCCCTCCCAGGTTTGAGAGCCTGGGAGGGGAGGGGGAGACTCCGAGTGGCCACGGCGCGGGCGCCGCTTCTCCCCCTCTCAAGCCTGGGAGGGAGGGCGAGTAGCAGCGCGCGAGCGGCAGCAGAGGTGAGCTAGGGCGGCCGGGCCATGCCACCCCTAAAAATGTGCCGCCCCAAGCACCAGCTTGTTTTGCTGGTGCCTAGAGCCGGCCCTGGTTGCACACAAATGCAAACTTGTTATTAAGACCATCTGCTTGCACTGTTTTTTTGTTTGTTTATTAGAATATGGAAATATTTTTATTAGACTAAGAATGTGTTTTTGTTAAAGTTTATTCAAGCAAATTCTTGCTGCAAAATAAATAAATAATCCCAAGACTGTAAACTCTTTGAAGCAGAGACGGTTGTTTTCTAAGTTTCTACGGCACCCAGCACAATGAGGTCATGATCCATGGCTAGGACCTCCAGGGACTATCACAATTACCACAATACACAAATAATAATAATAGAATGAAAGGAACACAGAGACTTACCCACAAGTTTAAGAAATAAAACATATCTCTTTATTTACAAACACAGAAGCTAACATCACTGCTCTGTTGTATAACTGGCCATTATCTGACACATTTTGTACAAAAACTACAGAGATATCAAAATAATGAATTAAAAAGACAGAGGAAAATAAACTAAGGACATACACTATACAATTGGAGAAGCATTCAACACTGAAGGCTGGAGTCCATGACAATTCATATGCCTTAAGACCATCTTCAGAGCCATCACCTGGGCAGCGTTAGGGCTTGTGATGGATTCAGACACACCATAAGAGTTTAAGGTATGAATTGAGCTGTCCAGAGAGTTCAAAGGGCAAAGAAAGCTTATTAGAGTATATGTGAGGGTGGAATCAAAAATAGTTTCATTAAATGAAGCAAGCCACTGAACTGCAAGTTAAGAAAGCTGGTGGTTTTGTTCCTATGACCTCTTTATTTAGAGTGTTCCTTCACCTTCCATTGTTTATTTCCAATGCTGCTGCTGGCTGCTTTGCTTAAATTAGACCTAACATAGGTACCTGCCTGACTCACCTCTTGGGCTTCTGGTACAAGTGGATATTTTTGTATGAAGGATGTTTGGAAGTTAAAAGAAGCAGTGAAAACAGGTTGAATTTACTAAGCCAAGGAAATAAATGAAAGTAGCTGAAGAGCAAGTGTAACACACCCTGGGCAATGAGGGGCACTAAGACTGAAAGCTCTATTTTAATTTGTTGCATAAAAAGTCCAATAACATGCTAGTGTCACCTGGAAAGTAGGCAGGGATGGAGAAAGAGAATCTCTACAATGTCCCATCTGCTAAGTCTCAAGCAGAACAGACTTTCTTCAGCTCAAGGACTGAATAAGGATCACCTTAAATTCAGATGTGTGTAGCCCACATAATCCTGAGAATATAAGGAGGTTATTGGGGGAGATGGTACTGTTAAACGTCAGTTTTTCCATGACTTCTGTGTGTATCTGTCACCTGTGGTTTGTCAGCTACAACTGAAATGGAAAGAATGAGCAGCCACACAACTTATGGGTTGCGATTCAGAAGGTAGCATCATTCGAATACACCTGCCAATTTTTGTCATTCTAGGTGATATCACCATGAAAGATGACATCCCATAATGCTGTCTCAGGTTTAAAAAGTATTAAACAAGTAAGCACTTATGAAAAATATTACACAAACCCTGTACAAATTAAAGTAACAACTGATCTCCCAGACTGCACGCAGAAACTAGCCCCAAAGCCCCTTTTTGCAAGACTGTGTGTGGAAGCAAGTCCAATGGTCCATTTTTGCTACTCAAGCTAAGATAGTGATGTTATTTATGTAGGGTCCTTTCTTACACAGTCCGGAGCATTTCCTGAAAAGTATTAGGAGCCTTCAACTCCACTGAGTTCAATGAGAGTTGAGGGTACTCAGGACACTGAAGAACCAGGAGTATAATTTGCAAGACATCTGCTGCCTAATTTCCTATCTCTACTAGTTTGCAAGAAGTTCTCTGCTGACCATCACTGTGGCACACTCCAAATGGTGGCTTGAGCCTGACCTCAACAATGCCCAGTGTACATGTTCTATAACTGAGCTATTCTGTGTACATATCAATCAATGTCACTTAATCATCAGCAGGGACAGTTGTTAAGGAACAATGCTGACTGACTTTAGAGACGTTCCTATCTAGTTCTCCTTGCACAGAACAACAGTGGCAGCATTATACAGGTCACTGGGGGACAAGGGAATTAAAGCATACATGGGAAGAAGAAAAAAGGTTGAGATTTTGAAAGCACACACAAACCTCCATCTTTCCCCTCTCCTTTTTTCACCAGGGGAAAAAAAATCTGACCATTTTAAAACGATATATAAGGATCCTTGGCTCTTAAACCTGTGTTACTGTTCCATGATTGGCTTTTCTTGGCTCTTATTCAAGGTCTTTGATATTTAACTGAAAAAAAGCTTGAGTATTTATACTACAGATTCTTTTGAGATAAAGATTGGGTTCTCTTTCTTCTCCACTTGCAAGAACAGGTCAGCAAAAGAGGGAGCCAGCTGCCTACACTATGGCACCTGATATGACAATATAAAAAGAACCAACACTGCAGGCAAAGAGATAAAGTAGCAAAATGCAACCTTTTATATACCTCAGCCTAAAGGCAACAAAGTCAAATTCGTGGGTCTTTTATCTAGACTTATTCTATCTTCTCCCTCCCCAATTCCACCAACAAACAGTGTCATGAAGCTGGCATCTTTCACCTCCACAAACCACTACATAAAGTGCCCATTCTTTGCAGACTTCAGAGACTATCTCAGCTTCTAATCCGAAATCCTTGCCTGATGGCGTGGCATCAGACCTTGCACACAACCAGCAGTGGTGATACAAAAGGAGTGCGTGTATGAAGATATTAACAGATTTTCTTTTAACTCACTGTAAAGTACTGTAGAAATGGCAGAGAAGAAAGAAACACACAACAATTCACTGAAATGAGAGTTAATGAAATGGAAGTTCTTAGGAATACACAGTCAGAGGATACATGGTCCTGGGAATAAAAATCTTGGCATGCTTCAGTTTCAGAACTAAAATCTTTGAAAGAAACAAACGGAAAATGATTTCTTAGCTTGAAGAAAGCAGGGTGCTTCACTTTAGCAAATGCCATAAGGAGACAGTCCACTCAGTTTCTTTGCAAATCTCCTGTCCTGAGAGTCAATATCTTACACTGTTTGTGGGAGAGAGGGTTGAGGAGAAGGAATGAAGGCCATTTTCTCTTCCATAATTCACTTCTTATAAAAAGTCACTCCCTGCATCCATGAGCAATCAGGTTGCTGTATTAAGTTAAAGTCAGTCCATTATCTGACTGAGCACCTTGTCCATATTCCACATTATGGTGCCAACATAGGAAAGAACAGAGGAAGAGAAAGCAGAATGTCTTCATAACAGTTCTGAGATTGCACCACCTGCTAAAGAGATCAAAGACAGGTGAAAAATATTTCATCATCAGGGAATCCAAACAACTGGAGGTCATCAAATATGCTAACATTGCCAGAAGAGCAGGCTAAAACAGATATTTTCAACATAGCGCGACACTTTTCAGAAGCATGACAGACACTGGTTTGGTGATTATACCACCACTTAAGTTGTCTGTGCACAGAATCCTAAACACATGCAGAAATACCAGATATGGACTCGAGGAACTCTGATCTCATTTTGCAGGAACTTAAGCAAACTTACCTGGTTTAAGTTTTGGACTTTAATCCCCAAACTCAGATCAAAACACAACCAAACTCAAACACAAGTTCCACTTGGTTTTGGATTTGAACAGTTTTCTTTGCAGTTTCAATCTTAAATTATAAAATGGCCCAGGCAATTGAGCTTGTTTATACTGGGACTCATTTTCAATTGAAGGAAATGCAGTTACCATCAGACTGGGCAGCACAATGGCAGCCATTCATCTGTACTGGGCTCAGCAACCCAGGCACCTGACTTGCAGAGATTGCTGCACTGCCATGATGCATTCAAACAGCTTCCGGAGGAAGTATGCATATTGCACTGCTGTTTTAGCAATTGACTGACTAATTCACAAAGCAGCCCTGAAAGAAATTAGTGACTTTAAGCAGGAGGTATGATAAAAAAAATCAGTCTTCGCTAGCGAAGTGTCTGCTTCTGCATGGTGGGTCGGACCATAAGCAGGCAAGACTCCTAAAGCAGAGAGGAAGCCGGCTGAGTTTGAAGGTGACTATCCACAAGTGGCATACACTAATGCCCTCAAGAAAAGATTGGTTGCCTAACGAAGCATGCATGAATACAGGGTGGACAAGGGAAAGGAGAGAAGGTAGGCCTGAACATTTCTGTTTGAGATAACAGGGCTCTAGGAGTTGAAAGAGTGTATGCTCCTCCGGGCAGGGCATCTCTGGCTACTCCATCAACTTGATGCACCAGTATGTTCTCCTCATATTGACCTCAATCCTACACTGAGATACACTAACATGGATCTATGAGGAGTCCCATGAAGTCCATAGGACTCCACGGGGGTGTGTACTAATGCAGTGTCTCTCAACCTTTTTGATATCAGGGACCAGCTTGCTGCCTTCCTAAACTGTGTCAGGGAGATCTCAGGGACCGGCGCCGGTCCACAGAACAATTGTTGAGAAACACTGCACGAATGGATCTTAATAGAAAATAAGTACTGTGTAAAAATAATACTAATTAACTGCTTAATGCCCAAGCAAGCTCAAGAACATCTGAATTAGCACTAAATGAAAAAAATAAAATCCTTACTGATAGCACAAAGTAAAAAAAAAACAAATAAAAGGCTCCACTGCCCATTAACATCCACTAAGATTGCTAAAGCTAGTGGGGGAATGGCTAAAAATTTTTTTTTTTTTTAAATCCACTACTCTTTAGGAAAGAGAAGCCCCCATTTTTCAGGCTCTCTAAAAAGCGTGAGGCCTCCACTGGCCCTGTAGCCACCGTTTCACTCAAGCCATACAGGTGCGCACATCTCAACATCAACAATAACAATGGGTGAAATTCTATAGCCGGGGTGCTACAGGCTGTCAGACTATACCGTAATGGTTCCATCTAGCTTTGATTGCCAGGAGTTTATAATGATGTGCAAGAACAAGGAAGAAGGAGTCTATTTTAACTTTTACTGCATTCAAAACACATATGGGGAAATTTCTTTTAAAGGGAATTATAGAGGAGATGGAAGTAATACTGATGCAAGCTGCAAAGGAAATGTAGGCTGTGACCTGCCTACAAAAAATGTCTCAGGCAAGTCAAACAAACATATTCATAAAGCTACACCTGTATGACTGCACAAACATAGTATCTGGAAAAGACCTGCTAACAATGATAATGCCATTTGCCTAGGAACAGGTAGACTACATTGCCACATAAGCTCAAAGGTCAGACACCTTGTACATTTATTAAAAGCACTGAACAACTTCTGTGGTTTTTTCCCTTTTTTTTTTCTCTTTTGTTTGCAAATAGTGGTGAACGGTGAACTGTGTATGATGCTTTTCCATTTATATCTGCCTGAACAGAGTTATGTTAATTAGCAGTGTGGTAAAAGAAAAAAAATGTACAGTATTCTGCACACACTCATTCTTATATTTGTTTGGTTTTAAAACTGGTTCCGTCCCTCCAGCATGACACGATGGTGCAGTCAGGATGTGCAATGGACGCCTGCCTGGATAATTTAGAATCCTCAGAAACCAGATACTCTTTAACACTATATTTTTGCTTTAAAAGAAAGTATATGGTGCTTAATTACTTGGACAATCAAGGATAATTTTAGAGACATTAAAGTGCCAAAATTAGGACGACATTTGAAGCCATTCAACACCATCATCATCAGGAGTAATTTTTGCATAGTGTCACGTTTGTTTTTGGCTAACAACTTCAGTTTAATTTCAAGCATTTTGGAGGGTGCAGAACATCAAGAGATTAAATACCAGTCAAGCTGCACACCCAATGGACAGATTTTGCCCTGGAAGGTAGACATATTTCTGATATATCCCCTCATATGCCAAGAACAAGCACTTATTGATACCAATACAAGCAACATAACAGGAGCAGAGCAGGAAGGACAATGAGCAAGGTGGGTAACATAGGACCAGCAGTGTGGGGAGGAGGGGGGTGGGGGGGGAGGGAATCAAATCTGGACAGCCTAAAATCCATAGCAGCAGCTGCTGAGCTCAAGGATATGCAAAATTTTGTGTATGAATCAATCATGCCTTTGGGTCTCCGTGCATCACTCTTAACTTACTTCAACACATCTAGAAAATGGGGCACAACACAGCAAACCACAATTCATATTTTGCTTTTCTGTACCTAGCTGAGCCTTTCCAAATATGCAGGTAGAAGAGTAGCTTCCCAATCTGCTACCGCAGCATGTGTGAAACGTGGACCTTTGTTTTCAGTCAATTTCAGCTGAAAAGGGCATTGTCAAGTAGCTAAACCCCCATATTTAGGTAAACCAAATACAACCTAATGTTAGTGCACAAGAACCAGAAAGTGACCAAAAAATGTAGAGTCAGCAAATCCTGCTCTCACTTACAGCAATACAACTCCCACTGAATTCAATGACATTCCAACACAGGCATGAGAGCAAAATTAATTTTCTCGACAGTGTCCTTTTTAAAATATCCTTTATTTTTTTTAAAGGATGAAGTAGAGCTCATCTTCCCCTGCCAGATCAGAGTGCAGTACATCTGCAGAAGGAGGATCATAACATTTCTTTATAGGAAATTAAGCTTTTACCTAATGGAAAGTGGCAGGAATATATTTTGGCAAAAGCCATTTAAACACAGACACAGTACTCTGATACAGTAAGGAAAACACGAGTTTTGGTTGCTACCCATTCAGAAGAGGCCCAGAGGTGGAGCAAATAAAAGATTTCATAAGCAAAGTTACTGCAAAATACTTTTATGCTCAACAAAAAAATTACTTTTTTTGTGGAAATCCACTGAATATTTATAAATTCCTTCATGGTAAATGGTTAGTTCCTTGCAGAATCTGTGTGTGTACACTGAATGGGGAGGCTTGTATGGTGAGCAGTATTACATGAAAGCTAACTACTTAATTAAGAACCAGCGATAATCCCTAAAATGTACCATATACCAAAACAAGGAACAGGAAAATCAAGTCAGCAAGAAGCTTCTAAAATGCAGCAATAGTCTTTGCACTGCTAAGTGTCTGCAACCAAGGGAAAGCAGCCACTGCTTGCAGCAATGCTTTTATGGAACAGTTTTTCCCCCTCTCTCTCTCAATTTTGCTTATGCAAATTTTAGGTTCTTTGGCATATCGACCACTACTGATGATGGCATGGAGCAATCAATACCTTACACCTCAAAATCCTCCACCACTTACATTCTTTCCTAACACATATTTCAAGAAACAACTTCCCTGACTGGCAAACTGAAGCCTATTATGGATGTAAGAGCTGTCACGCACTACGTTAAAGAATCAAACCACCACCACCTTTTTTGCTGTTGACATAACATTGAATTAATATTATATCGGAAAATCCTGTATGTTCTTTAGTTGCAGTATATGCAACAGGGTGTGTGTTTTCATTTTGTACATTGTTTTGGTTTTGTGATCAATATAAAGTTATTTACACTTTAAGAAAGGAAAATTTTGTCTATCCTTGACAGCAGCTAAACACTTAGTGAGCAAATGCCATTTGGGAAGATAAAGTGGTAAGACTATATCAAGTCAGGGTCTGTACAAAGCAAGGCCACCAAGCAAGCCAACGACGCTCACGCTGGGTCCTTACCTGTCAAAGGCTGTCCCAGCTCCGCCTGCACTTTACCCTTCGCTGCTCCTTCCAGAGGTAAAGCACCTCTGTCCCCTTTGTAGAGTTTCGGTTTAAATGGAGAATCTTTCTCTTTACCTTTTGATCCTTTAGGCCTGCCTGCTTGCTTCTTCTTGGATTTACCATCTCCCTTCACACCCAGCAGCGGATGGACTTCTGCAAAGAGACAGATACACCTGAAATACTCGCACATGCATTATAACCATTGGAGTGGCAAATTGAAGTCACCTGACCCACCACTCCCCTTACATCTCTGATGTCAGAGGATGGGATTTATAAGAAGGAAAACACTTTCTTTAAAATCTGTAAAAGATGGATCAGTGTAGTCATTTCAAGAAATAAGACCAACACCTCAATCACTTTGGCTGTATGAAATCAGAGGAGTGAGGGCAAACAGGGACTAGGATTATGGTAATGATTACTGCAGCCACCATTGGCCTAAGTGTCACCGTCTCCAACAGCTAAATCAATGCTGCTGGAGAGAATGCTTTCCCACAGGATGAAGGCCAGCTTTTTATCAAGGAGACAAATTCAGTTTTAGCAGAAGTTGGCCCTCTGAGGCAAAATACAGTGGCACAAACACAGAAGAAATGTATTTTGCTATTCCTGGTCCGACTTATGAACGCTAATATACTTGGGCTTCGCCACCTTTACCTACCGCCATATAATGCTGCATTTCTGTTGGTGTAGGCCTAGACTCTAATTCTATTTCAATGTGGGAGCTAGCAGAGATAGAAGTGACTTAGTTAATGGCAAAGCTCTTCCAATTTATCTTACTATGGCTAAATGAGCAGATTAATGAATGAAGTACAAAGAGTACTAAAAATCATCGTTTTAGAATGACTTCACTCGTTCCTAAAAGAATATGAGTTATATCAGAACTTGGTTCACAGCGATGGCCAAAGACAACTACTATCAAAAGCAACATAAAGGTTTTTGACTATTAGCACGATTAGAGATTGATTTTGTAACACCTGGTCTTGAAACTGGTGGGAGCTGGGAATGCTGCAAAGATGAAACACCCGTCTTCAAAGCAGAATGGGCACTAAAATGAAGGCAACTTTCACTCACCATCATTAGGCACTCCTTGCAGTTCAATGTTGGTCATTTTGGGTTTCTTCTTTGGTGGCTGAGGTCCATCAGATGACGACTGCCTCTTCTTCTCGGAGCCTATTCCCTCATCTGTTAGGGAGGTCTGGACAGCATCAGGTGGGGGTCCATAAGGGTTTTCTTCTGGGTCTTCCACTTCAGGAGCAATAGGTAAATACAGCAATGCCTTGGAGTCCTCCAGTTCTTCATCGCTGGAAAGGAGAAAATATTTTAGTTTTAAACCATGCACATTTAATATACTTTTCTCTAGGTCCCTCAAGTAAGATGGTCTCTGAAGGAAGCAGCCACACACAGACACTACACAGTTACCAGACAATAAAAATCTGTATTGCCAAGTGTCACGGAGTGTGGGGGGACACAAGGCCCTGCACCCCCAGCTTCCTGCGATTCACTATGACTCTCAGCCAGCCAGTAAAGCAGAAGGTTTATTTAGACGACAGGAACACAGTCCAAGACCCCCCCTCAGTTAGGTCCATCTTGGGGTCCCAGGGCACCACAGCCCCCTTGGGAGGTCAGAGCCCCGTCTGCCTCCCAGCCATGTCACCAGCCAGCTCTGAACGCTCTCCCTAGCCTTTGTTCAGTTTCCCGGGCAAAGGTGTCACCTCGCCTCTAACTCCTTCCTGGGTTCTCATGTTACATGCTCAGGTATTCTCCCTCGGCCAGTCTCCCATCCCCCAATGCAGACCATCCTAGCCACACTCCCCTGTCAGCATTCAAAGACCACAGTAAGAACAGTCCCAGTTCGTCACACCAACAACAAAGAAGATTGAGAAGGGAAGGCGAAGCATTGTGGAGGCAAGGCATTTAACCCCTAGGAGGCACAGTGCTCCTCACGATACACGAAGCCATGCTAATGGATTTCCATAGGTCTTCCTGGACCGGAATTACATTGGCTATGATGTGAGATTTGAAGATTAGGCAAATTAAGAAGGTAGAAATAGAAGCATCTTTAGAAGTTTGTCAGGGATATAGGGGGAAACAACAGGGGAGAGCAAAGGGATAGGACTATCATCTTATTGTTTCTCAAGGCCAACTAAAGATTGAGCTTTAGCATGAAGTGCTAGGGTTTTATACCTTGCTAGTGCAGCATGTAAGACTGCAGAATACAATCATTTTGTATACTCAGATATAGTCTGGTCTCAGTAAATTATTCTCTAGACATGTAACTCCTCTCAGCACTATTGGGAACACATGCAAAATCCCAACACATGGAAATAAGAACACAGACATGTGTTATATATAGAATGAGTGCAATTTATATATTACACAGAGAATCTTGAGCACATATTTGGGATTTCCAGTTTTCTAAAAAATTACCTGCTACAGAAGGCAGCAATAGGATCTACACTGGTTACATCCACTTCCTCATCCTCTGCAGCATCAGCACCTGAAAAAACAAAGAAATGGAGCAATATAGCCTGAAAGGGAAAACAGAGACTTCTCCTTAGGAAGCTTTAGCTGATGCCTGAATCTCTAGCATGCAAGATCTCGAATCACAAAGTTAGGCAGAAAGGTCTAGAGCATTTCTCTTGAATATATCTGAATCAGATTTTTCACCTCTTCCCTAAGTGTCTGGGTAATCCAGCAGCAACAATGTTTTAAAATACAACCTCTATCTTGTTAATCTGATTGAAGTTGGAATCTGTAAAAACCATGTAAGCAGACATGTTCAGGTGTCTAGCATGCTTTCTGTAATGGTTGCAAAGGGTTAGGCCTTATCTACACCAGCAGCCAAACCGTTTTTTTCTGAGGGAGAAAATGGGGGAAGCCCATTGCAAGTGGCAGAGCATTTCCTAGTGTAGGTGGATCTTAAATTACAAGGTAGTATGTCAAAAAATACATTTGGTTCTATTTAGTCATAAACCGCATCTTACAAGGAATGCTAAAAAAACAGGTTTATATGAGTAAATAATTCAAGTTTTTACTATTTCCTATATCAAGTTTTAAAATGGACTTAAAATTATTTTACAGATCGCAGGTGATTAAACAGGTTTTTTTTAATATATATCTATAAGAATAAACTTAACTACCATTAAATGCCTTTTGCTGCCATTTAAATAACTTTTTAAAATCATAACAAATTTGATTCCATTCTCAATTCCAACAAACCCACATTATCCAGTTCTGGGCGCCACATTTCAGGAAAGATGTGGACAAATTGGAGAATATCCAGAGAAGAGCAACAAACATGATTAAAGGGCTAGAATACATAACCTATAAGAGAAGATTAAAAAATTGGGTTTCTTTTGTTTGGAGACTAGAAGACTGAGGGGGGACATAACAGTTTTCAAGTATATAAAAGGTTACAAGAAGGAGAAAGAAAAATTGTTGTTCTTAACCTCTGAGGATAGGACAAGAAGCAATGGGCTTAAATTGCAGCAGGGGCGGTTTAGGTTGGACATTAGGAAAAAATTCCTGTCAGGGTAGTTAAGCACTGGAATAAATTGCCTATGGAGGCTGTGGAATCTCCAGCATTGAAGATTTTTAAGGGTAGGTTAGATAAACATCCTACCTCCTTCTGTTGGTTTCAATCTTTCACTCGGGTGTTTTTTTGTTTTTGTTTTTTTTTTGGCACCACCAAGTGGCGAAGTTATGTTTCTACTGCTTGAAATTCAACATTTCCTCTCCCACTAATAATAGTGATCCCCTTCAAGAGGCTTACTGCATGTTTGCTTACTGCTTATATCTTGTTTGTGCATAGGTATTTCACTTTGTATGGCTTATGAATCATAGGCGCTGAAGTCATTTTTTACATGAAGTGTTGGATGTCAAATATATGGAAACAAAAGCATAAGTGAAGCGTGTTGCTTTGCCTATGACCAATAATCCTAGCTTGTTTTATCATCTATCATCTCGCTACCACTGATTTTAATCACATATCTTTAATTTCTATTTTACTGTTTATCCAGACATAAGAATTATTTAATAAACATTGGCACTTACAGCCATGTCTCTGTTACAAGCATACTCGCATTACATGTTACCTGTCTGCTCTGGCTCACTCTTATCTTCATCCTCAATGTCAAACTCTGACTCCCTCTCTTCATACTCTACGTTTTCATCCAACTCTTTAAAGTCAGGCGCAAAGGCACTCCAGTTTTCCTAAACCGCAAATTCAAAGAGAACTTTACCTTGTGCAAACAAGCAGCAGCTGCAATGAGACAGCTGTGTAATTGTACTCTAGCTCTGCCCCCAAATCCTCCAAACCATGTGCACTGCCACAAGACAAGCCCCTCTTTGAGTTTCATAGTCACATGGCAGACTAAACACTGGAAAAGTGAGTTTCCTTGGTCATTTTTATTTCCTTCATCCCTTGAAATCTCATAGCATCTTTGCACATTGATAAGGACTCCCATAACCAGAAGGATGCATGCTATATTTCATCATTTTTGTTTGTGATTATGTTCTCAGATCTGTTATCTGCAAATAATAAATTGAGAAGGACACTGCTCCCGTTATGTGAGAATTCAGGCTCTGCAATAAGGCCCAGATTCAGCAAGGTGCTTAAGCACAGGCTTAACTTTAAGAAAATGAATAATTCCTTAATGTTCACTGCTGTGCTTAAAGTTAAGCACACTCTTAAGGATTTTGCTCACTCAAGACCTAATTCAGTAACATATTGGAAAGAAAAATTCTGTGGAGCATCACCTGCCGGAATACTCAAAATACAACCTGCCCAGAGAGAATTAACTGGCTACTATTCCCTATGGAAATTAATCTGTAAAACACCTACCACTTGATTCTGAGCCCATATTGACACAACACCACTGGAAATGGAAGCGATGATTGGTCGGACAGGATGCCACTGGAATTATTCAGATGGTAAAAGGGGAGAAAGAAAAAGTTTATTTTTAAATGGATTAAGGAAGTTTGTTTGTTAGAATTATAACTGACAGAAAAATTATGGGAGACACACTCACTGCTACATCTAGCAACAGCTCCCCTCTGGTTCCATGGAGGATTTTCACTAGGTTTCCAATGCTCTTCTCCCAGATGTACAGAGCATGCTGCCGTGCTGATCCTGCCACTATGTACTCCCCATCCCCAGAGAAACAGCACTTCTTCCACGGTGTCCTGCATGCAAGGGAATTAAAAACATAAGAATGGCCATACTGGGTCAGATGAAAGGTCCATCCAGCCAAATATCCCATCTTCTGACAGTGGCCAATGCCAGGTGCTTCAGAGGGAATGAACAGAACAGGTAACCATCAAGTGATCCATTCATAAAACAAAGCAACTTGTTACATTACTGTACAATGTGGAGAAGACAGGATTCTAGCAAAGGTTTCACGGGAAAGAGTTATTAGGTTTTCTTGGGTGAGTGGTTCATTGAATTCTTTTATTCATTTGAAACCCGTGCCTTGTAGTGTGTTTAAAAGCCTTGTTACACCAAAGGCCACCCTGAATGAGATCCATTCTTTGTCTAAACACACCGAGCAGTGAATGCTACACTAAAGCACAAAGCTTTATCTATCTCTCTGCTGCTTCCTACCTGTTTACTAAATCCTGAAGCTTCTGCATTGGCTCAGGCTCTCCATCTCGCCCACAGGTTAGTATTTCCCGACCATCATATACCCTGATTATTCGGTCAGCTGTGTTTATTAAAAAGCAGCTGTGGGAAGGAGAACACAGTTAGAAGAGAGTTCATTACATCAAAACAAGGACTTTAAAAAAGTATTTTTTTTTAAATCCTAAACTAACATGTAAAATACCATAATTTTTATTATACATTCAACATTAAAGGTCTGTATCTAGAAGAGGCGGAGCACTCACAACTCCCCCTTCAAGTCAATGAGAGTTGAAGGCACACATCATTTTGCAGGTTTGGGCCCCAGATAAACAAAACATTTCCTATAACATGTACCTACACTAACCAGAAAAAAAAAAATGTATGCCAGAGATGTATTAATCTCATCTCCTTCTATTTCTCCCACTTTTAATTCAAAAGTAAATTTATCCTTTAAAAGCTAGCCAGAACTGTGAAACCAACACACTGTTCTGTCACATTTCCAGCTCTTCATATTTTCTATTTATATAAACAGACAGTGTATAGCTGCTAAGATTTCCCCTGAATTTTGTAGTTGACACATCCCCCACAGCAACTAATTTTGGGGCCATAGCAACAAGTATTCACGCTCTTTTACTCAGAATATTTTATCCAAAAGATCACAAATCCTAAAGCAGAATATCAGGGGGTAGCCGTGTTAGTCTGTGTCCACAAAAACAACAAGGAGTCTGGTGGCACCTTAAAGACTAACAGATTTATTTGGGCATAAGTTTTTGTGGGTAAAAAAGCCTCACTTCTTCAGATGCATGGAGTGAAAATAACAGAAGCAGACATTATATAATGACAATTATAGAATGCCTGCATCTGTAATTTTCACTCCATGCATCTGAAGAAATAAAGGTTTTTTACCCACAAAAGCTTATGCCCAAATAAATCTGTTAGTCTTTAAGGTGCCACCAGACTCCTTGTTGTTTTCCTAAAGCAGAATGGAACCCTTCTAGTGTTATTCACTGCTGCACTTCAAGGGTTGATTGTTGCAGCAGAGGTAAACAAATCTCTAGAGGTGACAAGTAAGGAAACATTTACTTTTAATGTATGTCTCTGGATTAACATATGTTCTGTCCGTGTTTTTATAATCCATTCATCCATTTTAAAACTTTTCTATTCACCTCCAATTTTCTCCTACTCACCTTCCTTTCCGGGCAAATTCTATTGATTTAATAGCTGTGGTGTTGCTGGTTCCAGTTGTTACTCTGAAGGAAGCAACCAGATCTTGAGTATCTGTTTTTAAGACCAAGATCTGAAGATTAAAGAAACAGAAAATAATCAGTATCTTCATTAACACTCACAATGTGAGGCTGTGTAATCCAGGTATAGTGCCGGGGACTAAATCAGGATTCTTGGGTTCTAGTTCCTGTTTCTGTAACTAATTCTTGTGTCCTTGAGCAACAAGGAACTTGTCCACTCTATGCCTCATGCTGCCTCTCAGGAATATAGGGAGAATATCTACCTCATGGTGAGAGGCTTAAATCAGCAAGTATACGGTACTGAGTACCTCTGATAAGAATTATACATCTATAGCACTTTTTATCATGCAGTTTATGTGCACTAGAGGAAGAGAGACCCCTAAAAATCTTCTCCAAAACAGTAGCAATACAAGTAATACTTAGTGCTTAAATACCATTTTTTATCTATAGATCTCAAAGATAGAGTCAAAGTGCTTTACCAAGGAAGGTCAGCATCATTATAGTAGCAATGATTCAAGAAGCTCTCAGGGAACATGTCTCACAGACCAAAACAAAGGACTTCATCCCTAGAAGGGTCAGGCACCTGGACCAGGAATTGCATTCTTTTAATTATTTCACTCACTGAGCATCAGCACAGTGTGGTCTCACCTTCCCCTTGGCATTGCCTGTATAGATATATTCCCCTCGCCTGTCGAAAGAGGCCACCACATTCAGATCGGAGTCATCATCCACAGGTAGAACAACATGTTTTGAATCAGACAGCGTTAGCATCACTGGTGCAGATTTCATGGGACACACCAAAACCCTGTTTCTGCAGAGGAAAAAAGGAAGAGTTAGCAGTTTGTCTTTTTTTCCTAGAGTCTCCAATTTTCACATTTACAAGTATGGAAAAAGTTGAAGGAATCTGAGAAAAGCAGGGATGTATTGTAGCTGAATATGATATACGTTCTTTTGTTTCCTTGGCTTCTCTCTTGCATTCATGAGCAATAGATATTAAATGAAAAACCCTAATATCTTTGTTTTCTTGTCCTGACTTATTCTTGCAAACAATCGTAAAACAATATGATCTGGTGTTTATTTTTTCCTTTTTGTTTACATCTCTTTATGGATGTTTTTCCAAGTTTATACATCAAGTGTGTCAACTCAACAAGAAATTTGTAAATAAATTGTTAACACACATCCTTTTGTTTACCCTCTTCCACTTCCCAAAACTATTTTTCAGCAGGCTAGAGTCATTACAAAAAGATTTTTATTTTGTTCGCATTGCTAACACATTAAAGGGAGAGCATCTGGTGGACTAGACACAACAGTCAGGTTTTTAGAAAAATCCTTTTATAAGATCTAATAAACATGTTTTCATGATTATACAACTATAGGGAAGAGAGCATTCATTCAGCTCATAAAAGCCTCCTAAAAAGGGATCTTTTCCATACAACTTACTGGTCTCGGGGGTGATACTGAACTTTCAAGATGGGTGAAGGGAACCGAAACCTCTGGTCACAGTCTCCAGACAGAACATCCCACTGTGATACGATGTTATCAGTTGAAGCACTCACCAATTTGTGACCATCTCGACTCCAGCTGCAAGAGAAGAGACATATATTAACCTTTCAGGAAAAAAAATACACAAAACCTATGCTCACAAAAAAAAATAGTAGTTTAAATAGTCTATTAGAACTATGAGCCGCTATTATAAAACTGTCTGCTGGACAGCTCCATGTAGCTTTTATCTTTGTGTTTCCACAGACTGATTATGCATATCATTTCTTTAAAACTCACTTAGAGAATCAGATCCTATGAAGCACTGGCTTAGATAGTCATTTATTTGCTTTTGTATGTTGACTTTAGTGGGTCTTGAGAATGGCCAGCACTTCACAGTATCTGGCCCACAGCAAGCACAGATTTGACCAAATTCCATTCACAGCAAAGTAGAAATATTATGCTAATACATAGATTATAAACCTGAATAGACCGAAACCTGGGAATGAAGTTGCTTTATGAAAAAGTATCCTCTAAAATTCTTTGTTTTTAAGTGCCAATTACATCTCTTGACAGAAAGAGAGCTCTTTTAGATTAGTGCGCGTTCTTGATGCAGTAGTCTTGACACATCAAATTTGAAAGGCATGCCATTCACAGCTATTGAGAAAAGAGGCAAAATAAGGCAAAGGAACCCGGAGAGGAAAGAGTGGCATCCAACATCAAAGGGGTGGAGAATCTCTGAACTTGAAAGAGAATCTTAGGAAATTCAGAAGGGAGGTAAGGAATGAGGCTTTAATTAACTGAGTACTATAATCCCTTAGGAGCCTGCCATAAACTCTGGTTTAGTACAGAAATTTCATAATACTTCAACTCACATTCAACCTCTATAAGATAACTTCTTACCATAAAGAACAGACAGGGTGGATATGGGCACTTATGATTTTGGCTATGCCTCTCGTCAAGAAGTCCCAGATGACAATGCGGCCATCGTTACAGCCCACTGCAAGCAGAGTGCCCCACCTGTTAAAGGTACACGTCAAAGCCATACTGATACAGTCCAGCGTCCCATCGGCCTCCTGGAAATAAACAATGGCAGAAGAGACTGTGAGAAGCCAAACTTCTGTTTTCAAGCTTTGTGCCCACTTTACTTTACCGACTTTTAAACCTTAAGTGCAAAATGTATGAGCTACCACCCGAGATTTCAATTGAACACCAAGAGCCAGATGCTTGGATGATCAGTAGCCAGACCTTGAAGGAACACTCAACCAGGTTTAAGCCCAGTCATTAGGAGTGAAATTGCTTTTAAAAGGGCATTTTCTAAAGCTCACTAAGTACAGAAATATATTCACAATTTATTTTGAAGGGGAAAAGGTAGCATATTTAAAATTCCACTTCTCCAAGCCAAATGGCAAACAAAAGAAAACAAACAGCCAGCAGAGGTGTAAGACAGTCAGAGACTACTTTTTATTTTTAATCCAAGTTCTATGCTCAGAGTGTACTTTTCGTGAGTTCTGGGAGCCATAAATTTTAACCTGATAGATTTCTAAGTTAAATAGCCTGATGCCAGATTTGAAGATAATATAGAAGTAACATGTTCAATTCATGAACGAACAGTTTTTTGATTCTCAAAGAAGACCGAAATACTCAATGTAGAGATTTATACCCACACAACCATCTCTTCCCTACTCCACTTGACTGTTTACAAACAAGACCTGCACATACAATGGTTCCATTAGCACAACTAACTTTGGGATGGATATAGTTGCAAGGCATGACGACTTTCCTATTTTAAAGCCTCAATTAAGCATAGCCCTGTAACAGCTGACTTATTTGTTTGGCTTTTGGTTTTTTAAAAACAACAATTAAATGATGCGGGACAGATTAAAAGTGAATATAAATAAAATCAAGTCAGTAATCCAACAAAAACTAAAGAAAGAGTGACCTCCCAAAAAAGAGACTTACCTCAGGATAGTTCTGTCCAAAGGACTCTGCAACAAAACAGAAACATCATGCTTGAATTAAATTCTATGAAAATCACATATTTCATATTGAACAACCCCACATTGTTTCCATTTAGACACAAGGCTGCTGTCATTATTCTAATAGATTAGGTTTATAATTACACTGATGGTCTGATCCTACATGCATGCTCAGCTCCCAGTACAATCAATAAGAAATAAGGGCACTCTGCATACAGCAGGATCATGCCTTAAGCTAACACAGATAAATCATGCATATGTCATTGTGGGTCTTCAAGTTTTACCCCAGATGTAATGAGACTTACCCGACTATCGAGGCCTGTCCCAAATTTGCTGTCAGTTTTCAAATAAGATTCTTCCCCCTCCTCCTTCCCTCTGCCCCCACGGTTTCATAAACCTGCACAGACACTGGCTACATGAATGAACGGCCGTGTTGGTGAAACTGGCCAAGAGCATGTTTGCATGAGAACCACCATCAGGCTGACACCTCATCCACCCCCATAAGTAGTCTGAGCCATTCTACACTGCAAAATTAGGATTCTCTGTTTTTTTAATGTCAACCCAGCCTCTTGACCAGATTTAAAGAGGAGAATCAAAAGCACTCTTGCCCCCAAACACTTGTCAAAAGCCTCCAACATGCAGCTTCCTGCCTCCCCATCTCTTTGTAACAGGTGCCCCATGATTTTGCTTCAAAAAATCTGGTTTTCCTACCTGCAGACTCCAAATATAGGAATATTTCTCAGAATAATAAAACTGAAGTACTGAATTTGGGTTGGGGGGTGAGAAATTATTTCTGTCCAAAGAATGACAGCCCCACACTCTGGGGAGCAGTACAGCTACAAAGTTCAACCTGCTTAACACCCCTGCCAGTGGGGAGGATAGGAACAGCCTGCAGGTTTGTGTACACAGGAGTGCTACCTACTCCTCTGGGTGAGACCCAAACCAGATGCTGTTTCTGCATGTTCCCAGGGCAAGGGGAAGGATGTAAAAGCAAGTGACAAACTGCAGCAGCACAACACAGGCCACGCATGACGTTAACAAACCAGCCAGTGTCACCAAAGGGGACCAGACCTGAGCCCCCACTGTAAAGACCAGGCCCTCTGCTGAGACTGCTCCGCCCCAGGAACCTCGTGGGCCCTGGACTCCCCAGTACAAGGGGCTTTGCCCCTCTCCCCCAGCAGGCCCCTTCCCCAGCAGGGGCCCCTTCCTCCCTGCCAAGCCCATGCCAGCCCTTCCCTATCCCCAGCCCAGCGCACCCCCTCGCTGGCCCTTCCCTGCAGGAACCCCCCCCCCCGCGCTCTGTCCCCAGCCCAGCGCACCCCCTCGCTGGCCCTTCCCTGCAGGAACCCCCCCCCCCGCGCTCTGTCCCCAGCCCAGCGCACCCCCTCGCTGGCCCTTCCCTGCAGGAACCCCGCCCCCGCTCTGTCCCCAGCTCTCCCAGGCCCTCGGGACTCCGCACACCCACTGGAGGACCCTCCCCCCTTCCAGAAGCGGGACCCGGCCCTGGGGACCCCACCGAGGATGCCCCGCCCTGCCGTCTCCGCAACCGCCCCCTAGGGGGGAGGGGAGCAGATGGGACTCCAGAGGGGGCAAAGCGCGAGCGCCCACTCACCGAGCAGCTCCAGGTTCATCTTGGCCGCTGTCTCGCTCCGTCCCCGCCGCTCACCGTCAAAGACCCCGGGGGCCTCCTCTCTGAATGGGGCTGCCCTACGCGCTGCCTGATAAACTGCCCCCGGCGCGCGAATCTCTTCGCGGCTTCCCCCCCAGACCTCTGCTTCTCCCCACGGCCGGCTCTGGAGCGCGGGGTGGAAGGGAAGCACAGCCCCGCAAGCCGGGCCGCGGACTAGGGAGTCAGGCACCGCCGCGGCCACCCCGCAGTGGTGCCGGGGAAAAGGTTCCTATCTGGAGCAGAGAGCCGAGAGTGAGGTTCCGGGTACACGAGGGAGAGATGGCAGGGGAGGGGCTCTGGCACAGCTCAGAGGAGGCGGGAGAGTGGGAGGAGCTCTATGCTAATTGGCTTCCTCTCTTCCCTGCTGTGAGAGCGAGGTGGAGGGGGCAAGCTCTTCTCCAGGCTCGTAAGATACTGTACAGCACCAGCTCTGCAGCTCTCCCTAACGCTCAGACTTTTGATTGGGGCATTGCTCTGGTTTGTGCAATAGCCCCAGGGGGTGGCTGTAGGAATGCAAGCAGCATTCAAGAGCAGAATTTGTCCTTGATTCTGTTCTCCTCCTGCACAGAGATTTAAAAATTTTATTAAGATGATAAAAAAAGTGAACGGCCCAGAGTTTAAGCATAGAAGTTTCTGGTGATCAGGGAATAACATACAGACTATCGAGGGTGCTAAATTTGGTTTAAGATCGGGTGTCATAAAGAATACATAATCTGCAATATCCCTGATTGGGGATAAAAGGTTGATGGGTTAAAGTACAGACATTTGGTGAGATTTAATGTTCAGAGAGTTAATGATTCCAGTTCATATGATCCAACAGAGAAAAGCTCTTGTTCCCTTTCTCGTAGTCGATTAACAATATCAGTCTACACTACACTATTTAAAAATTTTATTAAGATGATAAAAAAAAAACTAAAATAGCTAACCCCACTCATTGGTAAAAGCAGCCTAGCGCTGCACTACCCTGCCCTCTGCCCCTGCTTAACCACGTCTGTAATGGAGCTTGTTAAAGAATCAGAGGGGAGGCCCTGTTAGTCTGTATCCACAGACTGTTAGTCTTTAAGGTGCCACTGGACTCCTCCTTTTTCTGGTTAGATAAAGTGACACTAACTTAACTCCAGCTTTGAAAGAGAAGCTGGACCTGTATGAAGCACACGTCTAGAGACATTGATAAGCAGCTTCCATTCATACAGTAAAGTGGCTCTCACATCACTCCTCCGATAGGTTGCTATAGGATTCTGCACTAGAGGATTCTGCTCTCCAGCAGACCAGTTGCTTAAAAAGAGGGAGAGTGCCATTTCTGAAGGGCAAGTTAAGAAACTTGACAAACTAGTAAAAGTAAGGGGCAAGATCTCCCACTCACTAGGTGACAATACCTTACCCCACCCCCAAACACACATACAAAAAGAGAAACTAAGACGAGACAATGGTGCTAGTATCAGACACAGGCAGGAGGTACGTTTTACTAACTTACCTGGAAGATTAAAGACATTTATTGCCGGTTACCAAGTCAGTCATTTCATTCTGCTTGGGCTCTCACTTTATGCAAGGCTGATGATTAGATAGGGAGATAGAGAGCTTATAAGGTTGAGTTGCGGAGAAGCACTATGGGGTTATTACAGGAGTTTTAGCTAGATAACAGAGTTCAACCCTCATAGCTACCAGATGGGAACAAACTTCTTCTGGCTACTCTGCTCAGTAAAAGCTACAGCCATAATAGCAATACTTAATTTGGAAAGCTTACTGAGAGTGAAGATAAGACAGTATTTGACCGAAAGGGAGCATGACCAAAATAAGGGTCTTATGCAGAAAGCGTCAGCTCAGAGCACTACTTATCCATTCCAAAGTATTCTCCCTAGCAGAGTTCAAGAGGAAAGTTATTTCATACCAGGTTTATGCAGGTCCAACTCTAACGACATCAGTGTAGTTATTCATTTACACTGGTATAAGAGGCAGACCAGTGTCAATCCCGAGGGCTAGCTTTAGCTTTGCAGCATTTCACTGGAGTTCAGCAAATGCTCCTGGGCACTTTTGGGTTATGGACTTTATCTGAAGAGACGTGGTGGGAGGGTATCGTCAAGGGGGAAAGCAAGCCAGACAATGCAAAAACATAAAACGTTAATGTGACCTTTATTATACAGCACAGTGTGTTCTGTGCATTCTAACAATTATATATAATATCTATAAAACAGACAGTTGATAATGGCACTAAATGAAGCCTTCTTAACCCACAGTTGCGTCTCTTAAAAATACACATATGGACCTGGTAAGGAAAGGAAATTAGTATTGCAGAAAGTTATAATACAAGAGAAAAATTTTAGTTTGTTCTTGATGTCAATTTCCTGGTTATTGCACTTTTTCCTACACACTTGGTAAGTTCATTACCTTTTCCTTTAACAATGTAATATACATCAGTCCTTTAAAGTTTAAAATAAAAAAAGCAATACAAAATCTAAAGACATTACAATGGAGCTGTACAGTTCTTAATTTCTCCCCCTAACCCCGAAAATGTAACAGTTTTCACCACTGAACTTCAGGTCAGCCAAAGTTCAACAGGCTCCCAAAATAAAGGGCATAAAGTAAAAATAAAAACCTTTAACATTAGTGCTACTTAAGCCCCTGAGGGAATTTTTAAATGCAGATGTGCTCCTGTTTTCTCCTAGAGAGGAAAACCTTGTAATATTAAAGTATTTAAAAAAAAAAAAAAGTCAAGTCACTTTTAGATCTTCAAGTAGGACCAGCAAGTCCAGAAAATGCAATATGAACACAAAGGAAAGGAGAACAGCAGGGAACAGCTATTCCTTCAGCAAGGGATGCAAAGGGATTACTCAATCCCATTCTGAAATTCTACAGAACTTGTCACCATGTGTAAACCAATATAAATGTAAATATCCTCTACCCCTCCAAAGAGAAGCTGTGGAGGGGGAAAGAGGCTAGTATCACCATTCAAAACAATGTGCAAAGCGTAAACTGGAGCAGCTTGCTTTTTAGTTAAAAAGGAACAAGCAAGCTGTAGAGTTTGCTTAATGTAATTAGCAACCCTCTCAAGTAGGTTTAGATATAGGTTTGGGTTCTCCCACCCACCGACCAGCAGTTGCCCAGCCAAGGAAATGTCCTACGGATCCAGATATACAGTACATGCAACAACTATACAGTGAGTAACAGCAGTGGCAAAGCATCAGAACACTGAGGCTGGAGTCCTCCAGCATCGCTATGATCCAGTCTTCCACTGCATTTAGGAAGCATTTTCTTCCATCTCATTCCACAATATGTAGTGTATGAAACAATCGAGCCACTTCCATCCTGGACAGAGCAATAGCTGAAAAGTTGCTACCTTGGTAAATCAGTCAGGGATGAGTGGCTCTTATCTTTGCACAGTAAGCTACTAGCAGCTTTCAAGTTTAAGTCTTAACCTTGCAACTACGTTTGCTCGGTAAACTAGTTTTATCCTATTTTTACAAGCTTCCAACTCACTGACTGAAGAATAAGCATTATACTGGAGCACCTGGTACGGCCACCAAATTAGTGGCAGAACGTAAACCTCACAATGCAGCTTAGTAAACAAAGCTTCTATTCAAATCTTTTTAGGTCTAAACCCCACCTGTGCATCTTTAGAGAGGCTTGAAGTGAAAGCTGGGTAGGGATAGTGGATTCTGGGGGCAAAGAGTGCCATTAGTTTGTATATTTTTGCAATGCACATTAAGTCAGCCTGAGCCTTTTGAAGGATTTCTGTCTTTTGTAGAGTGTCTTGTTTAAAATAAGACAATGATGACACTATTTTACTGGCACTCACCACTGATTTGGGTCCACATACAAATAGAAGCCACCAGAATTCCTGTTAAATAACATGGAGCTCTTTCTATATGCCTAACAGCAAGGGTACATTTTACAGTCTAGTGTTTAAGTATTTTATAGTACATCTATCTATTCATCCACAGGCCATGAAGGCTGCTTCATATGATAGGCTCTGTATTTCTATACAAGGCTAGCTGTCAATTACACAAGATTAACGAATATCCAAGTTTGTTACTGCCTTTCAATCTGCTAGAATTAAACTCACATACAACTGTCTTTGGTTACATCATTACCTAGTAGAGCCTTTTAATGGG